GGGCATACTGAGCCCCAGCCTGGAGCATACTGCGCCCCAGCCTGGAGCAGAAGCCCTCACGCAAGTAAGGTTGACGTGGTCATCAACAACGCCCTCAGGATTATAACTGGATGCTTGAAGCCTACCCCTGTGTCCCTCTTGCCAGTCCTCGCGGGAATAGCTCCGGCCGGCCTCCGACGGGAGGTTGCCACCCTCGCCCTGGCCAGGAGAGCCCAAAAGCATGACTGGCACATCCTGCATAACACGACAACGAGAGCAGCGCCCCTAAGTAGGCTCAAGTCCCGCCTCCCCTTCAACAAGGCAGCACAAGAGATTCTCAATTCCACCTCTGAGGACCTCTCCAGAGATGCATGGTTGGCGGCTGCTTGGAAGCAGGAGTGGGAGCTAGCCGGGCCCTCCCGCATCCATCGCTACATCTGGGACCCAGGAGATGGCGCCATAGGAGGAGACGACCTACCAGGCCGGCAATGGACCACACTAAACCGCCTACGAACTGGGGTCGGTCGCTTCAAAACATCAATGAAGAAGTGGGGCCTGGCAGACAGTGCTGCATGCGAGTGCGGTGACCCTGAACAGACTGCCGAACATATAACAACCACCTGCCCCTTTATATAGACCACCCTCGGAAGCCAGCCTCTTCGACTTAGGACCAGAGCATGGCTACACGACACCGAGTTGGACCTCTGACGTTACACGAAAGAAAAGAAGATCACACGGTTGCATGACAGACCCACCTCACCCCCTTTGATTTTATTATCTATTCGTACTAATATACATTTGTACGAAAGGACTCACACTTTGTCTGAATGAGATGTGGTCTTTGTTACGATATCATCAAAAACAAGCTTCCAATTTCCACAGCATTTTCACCGGTGCTTTTGTGAAAAGTTTGGATATTTTTAAACACTGACCCCAGAAAAAAATGATGCAGTTTCTCTCCGAGGCGACGGCATGTTCCCTCTCCTCGTTAGAAACGTTAGACCAAAGAAGGTGATGTTGGTGTCAGTGCCTGCGACCATAACAACTACTGAATGACATTTCATCCCTTCAGAATCCTAAATATCACAAACGCATAGTCTAACGGCCGCTAAGAAAATGATTGCGGTGCGCTGGAAGCCTCCACACGATTGATCCATTAAGCCAGTGGTTTTCAAACTGTGGGGCGCGACCCCTGGTGGGTCGCGGAGGTACTGCAGGGGGGGTCGCGGGAAGATTTTATTATTTTCTCCTTTTAGCTTTGTGAAGCACCTTGAGAGATGACATTGTTTTTAAAGTGTGCTATATAAATCAAATGTATTATTATTATTATTCAATTGTAAACAAACACTGCTCGAACATATCTCACTGGTCAGAGAGCTGTGGGCATAATGCTGCCTTTTGCAACATCCTACTTGTGTGAGAGGCTTTTTCTTGCTGCCATCAAAACCAAATACAGATCAAAGCTGAACATTGAGAATGAACTGAGGGGCCGTCTCAAAACAAGTCATCGATGAGCTCGTGTGGAATAGGAATGGTAAAGTGATGTGATCGTTTGCAACCTGCAGTAGAAATAGTAGTTAATTAACATATTATCCTTAAAGAAATTTGAATTTAAAAATCTGCTACTCAGGGAAGAAGGCCTGCTAGTTTGAATTAGGCCACATTAATTCACAGTATCTGACAAGCACTTTTGTTCAAGTGTAATCCATAATAAAATATAAATATAGTTGGATCTTTATATCTTCTTATTATCAGCAGAGAAAATGTAATGTTTTTACAACAATATACAATTAATCCTACCAATATAGAAGGGAACCGGGTTGGGGGGGGGGGCCCGAAAATATTTCCAATTACCCAAGGGGGGCCCGACTGAAAGAGTTTGGGAACCACTGGGTTAAGCGATGGGGTTTAACTTTTCTCGCTGTTGTCCATTTGGAACTGTCAACAGCCGTATCAATGGACGAACAGGATGATGCGAGTGTGTGGCGTGCAGCGGCCGAGTCATTGAAACGTCGGCTCCGATTCCTTTTCCGTGTGCACATGTCATTTGAAGCTACTTGTTGCCACTTGATCCTGGGAGGGTGGGGTCTTTAGTGTATTGTGTTTTGTAAGGGACTTGTTTGTTTGTTCTTTCACATGGTATGTATGTGTTTTGTATCAAGTGCTCACAACAAAAGACAAAATAATCTGATGCTCAGAAGAAGGCGCCATGTGGACACAGGCCCTAACGCGTGCTGGGTGTGTTTACCGTTGAGGATCTGCTGCACGGCCTCGTTGCCCATCTGCGAGGCGGTGAAGCCCTGCAGAGACACGATGGAGGCGTCGGCCCCGAAGCTCAGCAGCAGCTTGCAGGTCTGGATGTGACCGGCGAGCGCCGCTCTGTGGAGAGACGTCTGGCCGAGTGTGTCCACCGCGTTCACCTGGAGGCAGAGGAGGTTTCAGAAACACACACACACTTTATATCCTACCAGGTCTATCGCTTTTCCAACCCAGTTTAGATTTAACCACGGCCACTTCTGCATCGACGAAGCTCCGCGGGACAAAAAGAAAACGCCGCCCTCCCCAACAAAGCTCAAGTGATGTCATGCCTGGCAAGCAGAATATTTCTATCTTATTTTATTAATCTAACATTCTTCAATAGCAATATTTATTTTTACATTGGTCTTTTTTTATTATACTTAATCGTTTAACCTTTATTAGAATTATGGCATTTTTATTACTATTATCTTTTTATTTGTATTCCTGTTGTACCTGTATGTTCACTGTTTTATATGTTATATTGTTGCAGTTGTCTTGTGAGAGAAACCATTATTTATTTTATTAGTAGTGACCTCCTTGTGTCTCTTAACCTGATCACATGTTATCTGTTGCTCATGTACCTTTAAAGTTCTTAAACAATCTGAGGGGAATTTCTTCTTGTTTATTTTTAACTTTGAGCTGCACGTGTTGTATGAAAAGTGCTATATAAATAAAGCTTTATTATTACTGTCATTATTATTTTATATACTCAAAGCACATATACTCAAATACTGTCCTTAAGTTGGTACAAAACATGACAAACAACAAAACGAGCTTTCAGGCTACAGATTAGTTGCCAGTCGCTTCATCTTAAAATAATGGTGACTTAATAATAAAAGATTAATTAACATTTACGTTAAATAACATTTTTATTTTTTATTCATCTACTTGGAAAAACACTGTTAACGGACTTAAATTCATATTTCGTGGGATGAAAACGCTGCTTTCGTCATGTGGAAGTGGGCGTGGCCAAATCTAAACTGGGTTGGAAAACGTTAGACGCCACCAGATCACATTATCTAACCCCGTTTAACTTCAGGCAGAATGGACCAATCACAGACCTTCGCTCCGTGTTTCTGCAGCACCTCCAGGATGTCGTTGTGAGCTCTCTCAGCGGCAACGTGCAGCGGAGTCATGAAGCTAGAAGACACAACGGACAGGAAGTTATCACCTGATTTCCTGCCACCATTGATTGTCTTCTTGGTACTTGATGCGAGTCAACGTGCAGTTTGCTTTTCTTCCCCCCCCCCCCGCGATATTTAGGAGAACTAAAGGTTGTGGACTTACTCTTTGTTCTTCTCGTTGATGTTGGCTCCTTTACGCAGCAACAGCTCAGTCACCTGCTTCCTCTTGGGGTGAGGGGAGGCCACGGCACAGTGCTACACACACACACACACACACACACACACACACACACACACACACACACACACACACACACACACCGACACACACACACACACACACACACACACACACACACACACACACACACACACACACACACACACACACACACACACACACAACACACCACACACACACACACACACACACACACACACCACACACACACACACACACACACACACACACACACACACACACACACACACACACACACACACACCCACACACACACACACACACCACACACACACACACACACACACACGATTAGTGCGCTGGTATCTGGACCTGCCGGCTCAGGACAAATGTACGGACCTCTGCATCACTCTCAGTTTTTAAGACCCACATGTTCCGCACTGCATTTTACTTTTCCTTTATTTGTTTTGTATTCTAACCTTTTACGCTCTTAACCGGTTTTTGTTATATTACCATATTGTATTCAATATGCTCCTTAGATATCTTTTTATTATTTCCTCCTTATAGCATTGTGAAGCACCTTGAGATGACGATGTTTATGAAAGTGTGCTATACAAATGAAATGTATTATTGAATGTTCTCAGTGAGTGCCCGTTTGCTTAACCGATAGCAAATCACATCAACATGACTGCTCCAGAGCAATCCTGACAAGACCACTTTAAATCCTCAGATAAATGTTATTAATATATCAGAATTCAGAAAACATGATTTGTAACCAGGGAGGAAGCTAAAACAAGGAGCAAAGATAGCTCAGTTTAAGCAGTGATTTGAAAGAAGAAAATAAATCCTACGCAACACGAGTTCTAAAACAACACTGAGTAACAACGTGTTTTACCTCAAAGCTAAAAAAACAGAATTTTTTTCAACATTGACACCTTTAAGAACTATTCCAAAAACTACCAACGTAACGGATTGAAATGTTTTATTGTCCCTGCAGTCGAATGGCACAAGCATTTCGGCAGATAGAAACAAAGCGAAGCTACAAGTGATGCACCGTCTTAGTTTGGTCATTTTTGTCTCGATTTAATAAAGATTTCTTTGGTGATTTGGTGCATTGATGATGCTGAATACCTCATTTCCATGTCTCTTAAACACATATTTTAAAGTGGAGCTTCGGCGGAGACAGAGCTCAAACAAGGAGCATTGTTATCTCTGTTCCAGCAGGGATTGTAACGCAACAGTGAAATCTATATTTGATCTTAAGCCCCAACATAAGGATAAAAGGTTGATTCTCAAAGTTGCACCATCTTAACTATTTGGTCATTTCTGTCTTGATTCGATAAAGATTTGGTGCATTTCTCACGCGGAGTGACTCATTTCCATGTCTCTAAAACACATATTTTAAAGTGGTGCTTCGGTATGATTCCTGAGGATTGTAAGTTTTACAGATCTTTCGATTGCATCCACTTATCAAGGAGTAAACTAAATCTTACGAGTGTTTTTAAATGCCCAGTTAAATGATAATTATAAAATCTGAAATCAGTGGTTCTTGTTAAATGTGTAACAGAGACAGAGCTCAAACAAGGAGCATTGATCAGGGTTCATACACTTTTTCACCAAGGATTTTTAATGACTTCTCCAGGACCGTTACCTAATTTTCCATGACCAAAAACATGACTCTCTCTCAGCGTACCACTGGAAAAGGTTTATTTTAACATGGAAGAGGAAAATAAGGTCTGAAACATGTTGTGCCTCTAAAACAAATCCAATAGGCTTACTAGCTTCCACAGCTACTAACTAAAATCTCTCACCGGCAAAACACCTCGTCAGTTAAATGCCATTTTACGTTTCATTACTATACGATACAGTATTTATTATCATTATAGTATTACTATTTCAGCGATTAGATAAAATATACATGATATTTGATGCAACTTTAGTTACATTTCCATGACTTTTCCAGGGCCTGGAATTAGCATTTTGAATTTCCATGACTTTTCCAGGTTTTAAATGACCGTAAGAACCCTGCTTGATATCTCTGTTCCAGCAGGGATTTTAACGTCCACAGTGGAATCTATATTTGATCTTAAGCCCCAACATAAGGACTGAAGGTAGATTCTCACCAGCGCGGTCTCGTTGGTCTGAGGGTGTTTGAAGCTGATGATCTCCAGAGCCAGAGTCTTCTTCACTTTGGCCATGTCCGCCTCCCGGGCCGCCTGCAGCAGCGAGTGACCTTTGAACTCGTCTACATCGGAGAGAAAGAGGAACAAGTTCATACATTTATTTGTTGTAAATATATAAATGTATATATATTATCACTTATTTGTGATGTATTACTATATAACTACCATTCTGTATATGCATTTGTATCAACTGTATTTATTTTATATTTAAATGGTGTCATGTTAATGGATGTCTTTTTTGTGTTTCTGTTAATGGGGACAGTTATGGAGGCTAAACAAGAGAGACATATTTTACTATTCATTGTTTAGATACTTTAATGTATCACTACAATGTGTCTATGTATTTGTATTACTTAATTAATGAAATTGCAATGTTGTCAAGTACGTTTTTTTGTTGCCGTCCTTAAAAAATACATGTTTTACCGTACCTTATATTTGATCTATGTAAATCATTTTCTTATTATAACTACCATAATGTGTATTGATTCATATTTGCTGTATTTAGTTGGATTTATATATAATTAAATCAAATGTAATTTGTATTAACATTCTTTTTTAAAGTGTTTTTATTATGACTATTTATTTAACTTTTTCATTTCAGCGTTTTGGTCAGGTACGTTTTTGTGTCTTAAAGAAATGTGGAAAATAATAAAAACAACGGTTAAATAATATCGCTTTTCCAATGAAACCATATGTATCAACACTACGAAACACTCTGCTTTATGTCATAAATGTGCAATAATACAATTACATATCTTCCACTAAGGTCTTTTGTTACCATACCGCTCCCACCGTACAGTTTAACATTCATTATTTGTCCATCTTTGTTTCTTGTTTGATTTGCTCTTTTTACTGCACTGTTGGTATTCTTATTATACAGTTTTATTATTATGTATCTTTTGTAACTCTGGCACAAGAATTTCCCTCAATTTTATTTCAATGTAAATACTGCTATATTTTACTATATTTGGTAATGTTATTATAGTGTTCTTAAAATAGATCTATCTGTGTCCTTCATCTTAGTTTTACTTTGATGTACGCGCCACGACATCAAGTCAAATTCCTCATACGTGTCAACCTACGTGTGTGTGTGTGTGTGTGTGTGTGTGTGTGTGTGTGTGTGTGGGGGGGAAAGGTCCATTGTTACAGCAGGCAAAAAGCCAAAGACAGCTTAATGATACCTAAGAAGCATGCGTAAAACAGAGAGTGTGAGACTGAATACTCACAGGAGAGTCTTTCTTTCAGCTCGGGGGTGGGGGCCATGTCCACGGCGCTCTTGCTGTGGCAGTTGAGCAGCGTGGGGTCGGCCCCGTGGCTCAGGAGCAGCGAACAGACCTCCACTCTGTTCTTCGAGGCCGCCTCGTGGAGAGGAGTGAACTGCCACAGGTCCATCGCGTTCACACAGGCGCCGTGCTGCGGGCGGAACACAACATTAGGGTTTGAGATTTATTTCCACACAAAATAAATACATTTTCATTCCCTTACTTGGACCAAGTGTCATTCTCTACATTAAGAGGGTTTCCTCCTTCAGCCTAGCGCTACTATGCACTTTGGATTTGACTGTTTTTGTGTTTTCCTGTAACCTTGTCCTGTATACATTCATCTGTATTTGTTTATATATTTTTTGATAATCATTACCATCTAACTTCATTTTGTTGTTGCCTCTATTCCTCAGATAGAGAATGGTAGGGCAGCATTGAACAATATAAGAAATTAATACAGTATATGTTTTTTAAGAAGATCTGCAAACAATAAATGGACATTAATACGTCTGTGGAATATGATTATCTCTCTATGATATTTAAAGGTCCCATGTCATGCTTTTCTGGTTATCACCCGTCCCCTTGTTGTTATGAAGGTTTTTCTGCATGTAAACGGTCTGCAGTCACAAACCCTCAAAGTGCACCCTGTAGCGAGTAGAACTCTAACACAGAGAAGACCTGTCTGTGCTGCCCCAGAACGCCTCGTTGGACATTTCTCTTTTTCCATTGTTTTCTTCTTCGGTCTAGTGACGTTACGTCCGCGGAGCCGTTACGTTTCCTCACACACACACAATCAATCTTTTCTCAGCTGCAGCTCCGCAGATTTCTCAGTCTGAGACGGCGGGACGCGGCAGGTGTGTGTGTGTGTGTGTGTGTGTGTGTGTGTGCTCGGGCTGGTTTCGGGCTGTGTTTCGCTGTCTCGCCGACCCCACGCAGCAACAAGGAAACCACACCAGTAACCCAGCTCACACTGTCCGCTCCAGCAGGGAGCCCCTCAACGTCCCGCCAACACGGCACCCAGACCCCACGCAGCATTCTCATCTGTTTGTCATTACTGGTGTCATTTCCTGGTTGCTAACAAACACCATTGTAACACATAACCACTGATGTTCCGCTGTAACGGTGGTGGACTCATCAGAACAGAGTGGGCGAGCTGACCAATCAGAGCACAGTGGGCTAATGGGGGGGGGGGGGGGGGGGGGGCAGGAGCTCCAACAAGGCGTGTAGGACAGAGAGTGAATACACATACTATACAGAGATGCTGTGAGAAACCAATGTGAGTTTGGTACATTGAACAATTTAAATCTATTCTAGTCGACCTCAACAATGGAATTATGATCAGTAGAAACGGCCATGACATGGGACCTTTAACACATATTTAGCCTCCTGCAACGTGAATATTGCACTAGCCATTTCAATTGACTGTGAAACCTGTTGTGGTTCTTACTTTAAGCAGGAGCTCGGTGACCTCAAAGTGGCCGTAGGAGCAGGCGTTGTGAAGAGGAACCAGGCCACTGCAGAGACACAAAAAGCATTGCATTATTAAAAGATGTAGTATTTTAAACGCTGTGGCTCAGTGGGAAAGTGCGCTGATCAAGTTTGAGTCCCACTGCAGTCAGCATGTCGCTGTGTCCCTGGACAAGACACTTCACCCCAAACAAAAAAAAGCGTCTCACCCCTTGTCCTTGGCGTGAACATCGGCCCCGTGCTGCAGGAGGAGCTGGACGATGCGGACGCGGTTGTATCCGGCGGCCAGGTGCAGCGGCGTGGACTGGAAGAGAAGACGGCTTGTTAGCAAACAAAGATGGCCGCCGGGGGGTCAGTGTGTGTGTGCTGCCTTCAGGAGCAAGCGGCTGATTAGGGCCAGAAGCATGTGTTTGAGTTGCAGATGAATGGCTGATGCGATGATGCAAAGTCAATGGTGGGTAGAAAGAAAATGAAAAAATTCAGCGATAAAAATTTATTTAGTTTCTGTCTGAGTGACAACTTCAACGGCATGTACCTTTAAGGACACTTCCCAATATCAGCAGAATAACGTATTATACCTAAGTCTGAGGGGTTTTAAATGAGGTTTTATGCGGAGAGATGACAAGAAAGACAGCAACTGTTAAGTTCAAAATGGCTGCGTAGGCATTACGGTAGGGAGATGATAGCTTGATCATGGCTATGTCTGCACGTAAAAAATCATTCATATTTATCAAAATGTTACTTCTTGATGTTCATTTACGACTTTTGGATCCTAAATTGAAAAGTTAATACTCAAAAAAGCTTTACCTGCAGTGAATATACTAAGGGAATTCAACACTGGATTCAGATTTGATGAAATGCTATCAAACCCCAACTGTAATTTGATGTGAGGAAGCTACAAAAAGCAGGAAGATTGCTTTAATTAGATCAAATAACTTTCTTTCTTTCAGCTAAGAAAAATAAGTCTTTGAAGTGAAATCCAACTTCAGGGGCCTTTGTTCTGAAAAAGTATTGCTCAGGTCAAGCCAACAGTCAAAAAGGAGGGACTTTCCATGCAGTGTGATATTAATATAACTCCAAAAACGGATAGATCTCAAGCCACAGTGATACAAGGTCGAATCATGGAGGCCTCGTTCAGAGTGGGATGACACGAGCATGTTAGCAGTCATTACCATGGAGGGTTAGCATTAGCATAGCACGAGAATGACAGGTGAAAAACTTTAGTCCATTAACCGCTTCCAACGTGAAGTAGACACACATTTCACTGACTGAGGAATCGTTTGACACAATGCAAAGGGTGGGGGGTTAGGTCTTCGGGCATGCATGAGTGATCATCCAAAAGGAAAATTGATTAATGAATAAATAAATAAATAAAGTCCAAATCAGAAAGACTGACTGAAAAGCAAGTGCTTGAAAAGTGTGAGTGTGCAAGGAGAGGACAGACGCTGAAGAGAAAGCAGGCAGAGGACACTGTGGACTCCTCTCAAAGTCCAAACAAGACGAGTCGTCACCATGACACCAACCCAAATCACTCATTCAATCATAACCACACACACAGTGACAGACACACTCTTCCACTGACAGTCACACACACTGACATACACTCTCTCTCTCACACACACACAGTGACAGACACACTCTCTCTCACACACACACACAGTGACAGACACTCTCACACACACACAGACAGTCACACACACACACAGTGACAGACACACTCTCTCTCACACACACAGTGACAGACACTCTCTCTCTCACACACACACACACACACACACACACACACACACACACACAGACAGTCTCACACACAGACAGTCTCACACACAGACAGTCTCACACACAGACAGTCTCAGTCTCACACACACACACACACACACACACACAGTCCCACACACACACACACACACACAGTCTCACACAGACAGTCTCACACACACACACACACACACACACACGCACACACACACACACACACACACGATGTGCAGTGACAGCCAGATTATTGGTCAAATAAAAACAATGGATTACAAAAAAATAAGGAATGTAAGAATCACAACAGAGCATCAATCAAGCGGCCGTTATCAAAACTTACCAGCATTTTCTGGGATGTTGACTGATGGACAAATGTTGCCAGAGTCACACGGAAAACAAAAACGAAACAAAAATTACAAAAATTACATTTCTCTTTTCACAGCAATGTTTTTTCTCTTCCTTCTTAAGTCGATGCAACACAAGCCCTGGTTATTGAATCACTGTTTGATCCGTCAAAAGGCCAGAGAGGGGGAGGGCTGAGTGTGTGAACCTTCTCCCTTTTCTCTGTAGCGTTGGGAACTGGTTCACGGTGCCCGCTGTTTAAATCGCAGACACAATCTACACTGACGGATCATGCAAACTCTAAATATACTGCAAAGGAGGCGAGGAAGGAGTCACACTTTAACTTCTGTTGGAGAAAACAGGGTTAGGATATACTGTTAGCCACATTAGACATTCAGAGAGAGAGGAGCTAGTGGTTTGTACACAAATAAGACAATCTAAATAAGCTCTAAAGAGATCAGTGCCTGACACGACTTGGGAATGAAATGCAAAAACAATCCTACACCGTCTTCCCTACGGTGGCTGGCGAGGGCCATTCGGAGTAATGTGCCAAAAGACATGCAGATGAGGAACCATCTTCACGAAACATGCAGTGTTTACTAAAAGAGCTGCATAAACTAAATGCTGCAAGAAGACCGGATGAAAAAGTTGGTTAACTGTCGCTGTTGGTGGAAAGTCACCTAAAATGTAAGTTTCATCATTCCGATATAATTAGGTTAGGTAAATTCGCTAACTAGTTTACAGCAGATGTTTAATAATGTCGGACGAACATTTTAGGTAACGTCCCATGAACAGAGACAGTCTTTATAATCCCTGGTTTCTGTTGTGAGCTTCTTGCAGCGTTTCGTTTATGCATCGCTTTTAGTAAACGCTCGTATGTCTTGTCAAGATGTTTCTTCATCGGCATGTGTTTTGGCACCTTAGTTTTGGGCCGTTGTAGCTCGTTTGCACCCGTTCCCACTGTATGACCCATCTAGAACACTCAGAGGAACATAATCATGCTCTAGACCAGGGGTGTCAAACTCAAGGCCCGGGGGCTTCAAAATGTACTTTTCCCCAGAATGTGGCTTTTCTTTTTCATTTTGTGACATTCTCACTGAAGAGACTTGCATTTTTTACCCTAGACTTCTGCTTTCAGGCGTAGTTAATTATGCAGTTACGGCCCGTCCACACAGCGGCGTGCGTTGAAGCTTCCAACGCTTCTGCCCATTCACTTTGAATGGGGTGACGTCACTTTTAGCCGAACTGCATTGTGGGAAGCGACGTGGAGCGTTGCTGGCGTGGCTCGCTGCAAAAGTTGAGCAATGTTCAACTTTTGACGCCTCGGCAGAAGCGTCAGCCAATCGAATCATATGCCAGTACAAGCTCTAGCCAATCAAACCGCTGCTTGTGTGTCAGGGGCGGGAGATTCATGTGATTGGTTGTTGGTCGAGTGTCAGACACGCCCGCCGGCAAGCGTCAACGCACGCCGCTGTGTGGACGGGCCGTTATTACCCTATCTGATATGAATCCAATGCAGAGGCAATAATGTAATATAGTACATTATTATATATATATTAAACATTTATATATGTATTTTTATATTTAAAGTTACAACCGGCCCTTTGAGTGCAACCATAATGCTGATGTGGCCCGAGATGAAAATGAGTTTGACCCCCCTGCTCGAGACGCTTCAAATAACTTCCAATCACTTTGATGTACAAAGAAATGAACCTACATTTAAAGACCACAACTAGCTTTGCTCCAGCGTGGAAAAGCGATTATGTGGAAGAATGTCCAGATACCCAGCCAAACCACGCTATAAAAACAAACCCACTAAACTGTAAATAAAAGTAATGTGTCTTCTTCTGTAGTTAAGGGAAATGAACACAGACCAAACTAATCTAACTATCTGGACTCAAAAAATGTTTTTTTATGGTGGGAAAAATCCCATCTGGCAATACAAAACACCTAAAGTTAAGATGTTATAATAGAACAAACTGGATTTGAAGTCTTAAAAACGGTAAGTTGGCATCATCCTGCTACAAACCCAAGGACACAAATCTCCGCGATATCTGCAACAAACTAATCTAGCCTAGTATAAAGTATTTCATAAAATGGCCTCGTTCACAGCATGCTGTATCCAAATGTGTTTATGCAGTTAGTGAAATGGTGCGGGACGAGCGGTTCTCTACCTTGCGTCCATCGCTGGCATGGCAGTTCACATTTAATGGAGTCAGCAGTGCCATCAGCTTTTCTTCATTTCCACTCCTGTAATTACATGGTTGAAAGAGACTGCTGTCATTAGGGCAACAGGAGAACACATGGTGTTATCATGCACTGGTCAAATGGAAGATCTTAGGCTGTGGACTAGTGGAAAGACAACATCCCAAAATACACATTATTGGTGTTTAAAACGGTTCTGAATTCACCATAAATTAGGGTAAGATAAGGAAAATGAAGGTCTTAATGTAACGTTAAAATGTTGACCCTATTCAATAGTCTCCCCCCTTTCTTATCAAAATCCACTTTGCTTTCAATATAGATTACATCATTTAAAAGTAGTCTTTCACAGATGATAATACTGCTTTACTGGATGTAACTAGGTAGTACTTATTCACATGTAAGAGTTGTACGTGATGTCTATGTTGCATGGGGCTGTTTGACTCTGGAGGTAAATATGTCTGGCTGATACTCACCTTGCTGCTTCCAGAAGTTCATCCTTCTTGTATTCACCTGGATGGAAATAACATTTATTTCAGAGCACTTTCCATACATTCGAGAATAAAGTGGAACATTTATTTAATGATTAAAATATTGATTGTGAGAGGAAGCGAGCTGAGAGGCACTGACCGGTGAGAACAGCCTTGGCTGAAGGGTCGGCGAGATCCAGAGCAGATTTCCCGTCAGTGTTGCGGATGTTTGGATCTGCGCCATGCTGGAGTAACACTGAGAGGAGCAGATAGGAACATACTTCAATAACAATTCCTATGTTATGTAACTGTTGTGTCACCCAGTACCTGAGGTGTAAAGATACTAAGTAGATTTACTCAAGTACTTTCTATTTTATGTTACTTTGTACTTTTCCTCCACTACATGTATTTAATCCCTTTAGTCACAGATGTGGATGAATGATGTGAAATATACTCAAGTGTTGAATCAGACTTTAGTTCCACCTGGAGTAAATCCACCAGCTACCCTGCAGTATACAAAGTCATTCAGACTAGCTGCACCTTCACCAGCTTTGAGAACACTTTCATGATCAATCATTATAAAACATATCATATATATTATTCTGAAATGGACCAATCTGCACAACGAATACTTTTACTGTCGCTACTTTCACTATATTTTGATGAGAATACTTTTCTACTTTCACTTGAGGAACATTTTGAATGCCGGACTTTTACTGTAACAGAGTATTCCTACACTCTGGTACTTCTACTTTTACTCAAGTACAAGATCTGAGTACTTCTACTTTTACTCAAGTACAAAATCTGAGTACTTCTACTTTTACTCAAGCACAAGATCTGAGTACTTCTACTTTTACTCAAGTACAAGACCTGAGTACTTCTACTTTTACTCAAGTACAAGATCTGAGTACTTCTACTTTTGATCTGAGTACTTCTACTTTTACTCAAGTACAAGATCTGAGTACTTCTACTTTTAGTCAAGAACAAGATCTGAGTACTTCTACTTTTACTCAAGTACAAGACCTGAGTACTTCTACTTTTACTCAAGTACAAGATCTGAGTACTTCTACTTTTAGTCAAGAACAAGATCTGAGTACTTCTACTTTTAGTCAAGAACAAGATCTGAGTACTTCTACTTTTGATCTAAGTACTTCTACTTTTACTCAAGTACAAGATCTGAGTACTTCTACTTTTAGTCAAGAACAAGATCCGAGTACTTCTACTTTTGATCTGAGTACTTCTACTTTTACTCAAGTACAAGACCTGAGTACTTCTACTTTTGATCTGAGTACTTCTACTTTTAATCAAGAACAAGATCCGAGTACTTCTACCACCTCTGCCCAGTACACTGATTAAATCTGACAAAACATGTGTGTTGTTTACATCAAAAACCAACATATAAAGTTATTTTCATGAACATAGGCTAAATAGCAGTTCATGTTAAATAGGACTAGATCATGACTATAATCATGAACAATTTGCACAAAAGCTACCATGCACACATTACGAAGGGCCAAATTACAGCTAACAAAATCTGTCTGTCTAGAAAACCTTACAGATTTGCATAATTCCCTGAACACGGTGACCCTTACCAATGCAGACGTCTATCTTTCCCTTGATGGCAGCCTCGTGTAACGGGGTGTAGTTCCAGTTATCTCTGGCGTTGGGGTCTGCTCCCTGACACAAGAGGAGGCTGACAACCTCTGCGTGGCCGAAAGAGCAGGCGTTATGCAGGGGGATAAGTCCGCCATCATCCCTGGCGTGAACATTGGCGCCCGTCTGCAGGAGGTGCTCCACCACATCCTTTCTGCCAAAACCTGGAAGAGGATCAAAAGGCATTTCAGTTCAGCTTTTCCTCAATATTTGACTCCTCTTAAATATAACTACCAAGGCTATTCCTTCTATAAATACTTAAATTCAAACATACCTAAAGAATTCACTATTAGATATGATCCTTGTTGATGCATAGAAAAGATGTTTGCATCTCTAAGCCGTGAGTTACACAGTTATTACATTTAATTTGTCCAAAACTATTTGTACTATGCTTTATTGTTTCTAGTTCATGTTCTAAAAGAATATCATTTTCCTTGTAAAGAAAACATGCTTATATGCTTTTTTTCAAAATGCATATAAACATAAGAAGTAATGCCAAATGTATATTTATGTAAAGATGTGTATGTAATTGTACAAACATTTGGCAAAACTCTGTCATTATGGTGATGTCAATAAAGCTCTTTGAATTTGAATCATGAAAGTCAAGCATGTGAAGGTGTAAAAAGTGGCAGAATTGTGCTAAACAGACACAGTAATGTGGGCATATTCTAATATTGCAAATGAAATTAGCCTGAAACTGACATTTTAGCTAAATTAGAGGTCTGTGGTGACGGATTAGCTGAAGTACAGAAATGTTGACATCTGCATTAGAGAGCGTCACATTAGCAGCTTAGCAACACTAGCCGTTTAAACTGAACGTTGTGTTTACACCACAACACAACAACATTAGCTATATAACCGTTAAAGTCTAATACAGCTAATGCAAGCATAAACATAACTGAGACTTTTTCTTAGCTCATCGTTACAGTATGATAGCTTTAAAAACACAATTTAAATTATTGTAATTTTTTTTCTGTCTGCCCTGTAGGCTATGTATTTAATGTGTTGTTGTTTTGACTGTTATACAGTATATATTTTATTAATCGTAAAGTAAACCTGGGTATTTTGACAGTGCCTCAAAAACATAATGTATTGTTATTATTATTATAGCTAATGTTAGCATAAACATAGCGGGGCCATTAGCTTAATCGTTTAAGTATGAGAGCGTGGCATAAACATAGAGTATGATAGCTTATGTTAGCATAACCATAGTTACAGTATGATAGCTAATGTAAGCATAAACATAGCTGAGACATTAGCTATGTTTATGCTATCATTAGCTTAATCGTTAAAATATCATAGCTAATGTTAGCATAAACATAGCTGAAGCAGTTGCTATGTTTTTGCTAACATTAGCTTTAACGTTAAAGTATGATAGCTTTAACGTTAAAGTATGATAGCTAATCTTAGCATCATAGTAAAAGTATGAGAGCTACAGTATTTTTCGTTACAAACTATGATAGCTAATGTAAGCATTAACATAGCTTCGTCGTTAAAGTATGATAGCTAATGTTAGCATAAACATAGCCGAGCCGTTAGCTTTACCCGCAGCGAAGTGGAGCGGGGTTGATTTTCGACCAGCCATGTCCTTCGCGTTTACATTCACCGAGTCCACCAGTCTCTTCACCCGGGAAACGTCTCCGTTCCGACAGGCCTCGAACAGCTCCCTGAAGGCCCCTCCGCTGCTGCCGTCCGCCGGGCTGGAGGCTCCGGATCCGGGGCTGGAGACGCTGCTGCCACTGCCTCCGGAGGTTGTTGTCGTGGAGAAGCTCGCACTGCTCGGTAGCACCGGGACGAGGAGGTCCGGGGAGGCCGGAGCGACGTCGATTCCACCGGCGCATTCCCTCTCACTCTCCGGGGGAACGATCAGGGCCATCGGCGGAGGAGAGCCCGGAGCGGCCGAGAGAGAGCTGTTTCTCGGCGGAGACTGTATGGTGCTTTGCTGCTGCGAGGAGCGACGAGACACCGCCATTACAGCAGCTCCTCTCAGTCGACAATAAAAAGCTGCTCCTCCTTTCCGGTGAAAGTAGGTCGTATTTCCTGTCAGCTGTTTTCCCTCAGTGTGATTGATTGATTGATTGATTGAAAAGTGTATTAACAGCTTGTATATTGGGTACAGTACAGTACAGCTCAAAACATACAATTGTTAAGGGGATGCAGACCAGAGAAAGACTTTCGTCTTGTTTACATCAGGGTCCCCCATTTCCAATTCATCATGTCATTTAAGACATATAAGACATATTTGACATACAGATGGCTTATTTACAATTTACATACAGGTGGTTTTTACATACAGATTGCTTATTTACAATTTTCATTTTAGATTTCGTTCTAATACATCCTAACCGGACATTTAAGACATACCAAGTCTACAGATATACAGTTAGTAACAGAGTCTAAAATGCGAGTATATACATAGATGGGGGGGGGGGGGGGGAGCTGTCCATTGAACGACAGGTTGAGATTTGTACCATTACCGGGGCCAGTTTTGCAATGCTCTCCCCCGAAGGTGCTCTTTAAGAGAGGTTTTGAAGGTAAGTATAGTTTTACTTTCCTTTACAGTTGTGGGAAGAGCGTTCCACCTTGATGTGGCATAATTGCGAAACGTGTATTCCCCCTTTTTTGTGCCAAATCTGGGTTTCACATGATTTGTGGAGCTCCCTCTGGTGTTATGATCATGGTATTCCTTGACCTTTGGGAAGAATTTTGACATGTACATGGGTACCATAGAGGTGTAGTGGATCTTGTAGACCAGGCCCATTGCAAGTAGCTGTACTCTGTCGTGTACTCTAAGCCATCCTAGGTTGTCAAAGTGGGCAGAGGTGAGGTGGGTTCTAGATGAAAGGTCAAGCAGTAGTCTGACCAGTTTATTTTGCGATGTTTGAAGTTTTATTTTTAGCGCCTTGGAGGTGCTATGGTACCATGACGTGCAAGCATAGTCATAGTACCCTTGAATGAGTGCTCCTGCCAGAGTTTTCAGGGTGTTTTTGTTTACCAGAGAGGAGATCCGGTATAGGAATCTAGTTCTTTGATTGACTTTTTTTATTACATTGGATGCCATTTTGTCACAGGAGAGGTTTGCCTCAAGAATAGATCCTAGGTATGTAATTTCCTTCTTACTTGTGACAATAATGTCGCCCACTGCAACTGAGAAGTCGTCGGATTTGCTGAGATTATGTTTCGAACCGAAGAGAATGGACTCTGTTTTACCCAGGTGTAATGATAATTTATTATGTGCACAAACCATAGACTGTATACACAACCAACATTAATTGTATCTAGACATTTTCTTCATATTTAGGCCTACTGCGTTTATCAGTTTTGTATCAGCTCTTTTTGATTACACTTCTTATTTAAAAATATATGATTACATACTCTTTTTTTGAGTATGTGCAAAAGGGAAGGACAAGAATTAGGAATTGTGTTCAAACCATTACATTTAACAACTTATGTAAAGTGTACATTTCCTATAATATATCAAATTATTAATCATATAAAAGAGTTTTGTAAATTCTGTAAATGTTGTGTAATTCAAGACAAGTACAGATAAGTAAATGAAGGAATGAAGCAATGAGGTAAAAACGGTATTTATTTAAAATGTGCAAAATCTCATGCAGCACAGCCATCCAACATCTAAGGCCCTGCAGCCGCTTCTGCAAAACAAAGACATTAAAAGACACTTTTTTTACACTATACTAAATAAAAACAGCCTTCACAACTAGGCTGGCTGGATATCATTCTTTAGAGCAAGAAACACATGGCACTTTCCAAGTGAATTGGTAACATCTCACAAAAGAAGTTCACTTTGGTCAAGTAACACTAGAACAGGAACTGGAAACAAACTTAATTGTAGGAGGAAATGAATACTGTAAAATGATCAAGTAAATATTAAATATGTAAATATTGATTAAAGGTTACAGTCGTCATATTTGACATGAAATGCTGAGGGGATAAGATCATCTGGATAAACTACATGGTGTCTTTATTGAAGCTATTTCGCTGTGCTCGCTCATCTCAAAAACTGTTAGATTAGACAACTTTATTGTTCGTTACATTATATTGAAATGGAAATGTGTGTGTGTAATTTACTTGTATTCAAACTATCAGGAATGGAATGAGAGAGAGGAGGAAATTAAGTGATTTTGGTTGAAAGATATTGCAGATGAGTGCAAACCTGAAAGCCTCAGCAGTTCATCATCTGGTCCGGTGCTAACAGAGTTCTGTTTGACGACGTCTCTTCTGACCGGGTCGTTGTCAGATATGCACAAAGTCGTCAGACTCTGCATCAAGCTGTCAGAGCCCTGCTGCCATTCACATTAACACATATTTCATCAAAACAGCACCAACTGAACTGACTGAATCATATCAAACACTTAACAGAAACAATAACCCGAAAATCTATTTAACAGATGAATGAAAACCCTTTTAAATAACTGACCTTATCTTCAGAGGCTTTCTTGGTGGGTTTGGTATTGGTCCCCAGTGGAAGCCACTTGTTTAAAGACAAGCCCAAATACACAGGTTCCTGCCAATCACATGTTTGTTTTCAATAAAACATGACATCTCAGGAACTTACCAGAAGTTATTAATTAAAGAGGCCCTAATGTGCTTTTTGGGGGTTTTCCCTCTCCTGTAGTGTGTTCATGTTGTATAGGTTTATGTGCATGTAAATGGTCTGCAAAGGCTAAAATCCCTGTGTTCCCTTCAGAGGGAGTTTCTCTCTGACAGAGGGTGAAAAGAGGTGCTGCAGCACAGACAGTATGACAAAAATAAAGAGCTTTTAGAACATGGATACATGTCACAGTAGAGGCACACAATACAAATATGAACCTAAAAATCATCATAATATGTCGTCTTTAAAGAAATGTAAGGAAATTATTTTGCATAACCAATGGCCGACCTTTGACTCTGGAGGCATGTCATCCTTCAGGGCTGCGATGGTGGCCTCCTTGGACTTAAATAGCTCCTACAGGTGAAAGAAAACACGTAACCCGTGTGTAAAAGTAAAACACCTTCCACAGATGCAGACAAAAGGATTTGCAAATATGCCAAACATTTACATGCTGGTAAAAAAAAAATTCCTTGTGTCACAAAAAAATTAATATTTGTTGCAATTTACAGATTACACATAGGCTATTATCTAAGTGCAGATTCAAAATGGTACCTTAATGTTCTTGAGAGCCGTTTGGTCTTTCTGTACGACAGCTTGCACCACCCACAGTCGAATCTCCAGCCTCTCCTGGGTTTCTGTCTGGCTCTGGATCTTCCTCTCCAGCAGCAGGTGCTTCATCCCGTTGTTCTGCTGAGTGTCCAGAAGGGCCTCGGTGTGCTTCCTCTGCAGCCGGTCGTTCTCATTCTCAGCCTGCGGGACACAAGTTTTTCATTTAAAAAGGCATTATTGTGCTTTTTGGGGTTTCCCTCTCCTGTAGTGTGTTATATAGTTTTTAATGCATGTAAATGGTCTACAAGGCTTACATCCCTGTGTTCCCTCCAGAGGGAGTTTCTCTCACGCACATTCACCCCCCTCCCTGAAACACCTCCATTGGACTCTTTTGTTTACCTCCTGTACATAGTGACATCTTTATGTAACACTCGCACTCCTATTGGATAGCGCTCCAACACATAGTACGTGATAGGCTAAGGGGCGGGACATCTCTAAGTGGTTTACCAATCACAACAGAGCCGGCCAGCCAACCAATCAGAGCAGACTGGGCTCTGGTTTCAGACAGAGGGTGAAAAGAGGTGCTGCAGCACAGGCATGAGAAAAATAAAGAGCTTGTTGAACATTAAAGGGCCCATGTCATGCTTTTCCGGTTATTACCCGTCCCCTTAGGCAAGTTCACACCGCAGTACTTTTCCCACTTTAGTTCCGATATAGTTCCGAAATGTTGCGTTCACACCAAAAAGAGCCGGAACTAAAATGAGTTAATCAGAACCTTTTTACCCCCCTTTCCGTCAGTTTTCCGTCCCTGCTAGAGAGCAGGGACTTTCGTGGGAGAAAAAGGTTCCTATGTCTGATTGGCCGGGCGGATTGCAAACCACGCCCCGTAAAACTCCCAAAAAGTTTTGTGAAGCCGCCATTTTATTATCCTCGCATTAGCATTATTAGCATTAGCATTAGCCCAGCGCAGAAACGCAGAGAGACTAACTTATGGCAACACAAAAGAAAACATGGGAGCGGTGGAGATGAGGAGGTGTCGGCGTTCTGGCGATTTACTCGGAAGCAGTGGTGTAGTGGGCGTTGGACGCGGGGGTACACATTTCACAGTAATTATAATAAAAACATAGCTCAACCATTTATGCAACTTGATTTGAAGCGTGTGTGTGTGTGAGGGGCAGCACCGTGTGTGTGTGTAGGGTGACCAGGTGTCCCGCTTTGTGCGGGACTGCACACAGCATTTTTATTATTTGTCCCGCGTCCCACAAATTGAGACTATGTCCCGCATTTGAGTGACAGTCGCGCAGAAAGGCCGGATCGGTTCGCTGACGGCCGGCACCGCCCTTTATTATTATATTGAAAAACCGCATCATGTTGAGTTGAGCTGACAAGCGACACAGAGGTCCACAGTGTACCCCCACCCCCCGTTGACAGTTCACAAGCGCGTCCATAGTGTCTCCCCCTGCCCCGTCCACCCAGTAAAAAAGTCCCCACTACACCACTGCTCGGAAGGCTTCTACTGAAGCCAGTCCCCAACTCCAGGGACTTCCGGCCGGGGACTTCGGGTGGCAGTATACGCCGTGAAGTTGTTTGAGGCCTGCCAGTAAACCCAAAGCAGAAGAAGAAGAAGTGACGTCAGCGGCTTCCTTTGCCTAATCCTCCCCCAGGGACTTATTCCGGTGTGAACGCGATCTGTACTTAGTTCATGAGAACTAAAGAGTTCTCATGAACTAGGTTCTGATGAACCTTTGTGGGAACAGTACTGCGGTGTGAAAGCGCCTATTGACTTGCATAGAGCTCCCTGAACGCTGGTAATAGACGAGTTGGGGTCTCGGAGAAATGCTCTCCGCAGACCCATTCTCACATCGTTCTAAACCTTTTTCTTACTCAATATCAAGCCACACTTATTGTTTTTACTTCGGCTGTGAGTGTTTGTGTGCTCAGGATGAGTTTCGCTTGTTCTCGCTGCATCGCCGACCCGGAAACCTGTCCGCTCCTCGCAGCAGCGAGCCTCGCAACGTCCCGACCAATCAGAGCACACTGGGCTCACGGGGGGGGGGGGGGCAGGAGCTCCAACAAGCCGTTTCGGACAGAGAGTGAATACACATACAGAGATGCTGTATGAGAAACCAACGTGAGTTTGGAAAATTGCACAATTTAAATCTATTCTAGTAGACCTCAACAATGGAAATATGATCAGTAGATGGAGACATCATGTCACAGTAAGAGTAACTGGTGTTCATCAACAAATGTTCGGGCACATTTCATTAGTGGGCAAGCAATCTCCATTCCAGTGTTTTCCCTATCTTTTGGAGCACTGCCATCAGTCCATGAATGAGACTGTAGCTCAGAGGTCTGAAATAACCACTCACTCTACTGTATGACGTAACGGCAGCACAGCGGAGAGTATTTTATCTAAATGGCTAATGTCAGTGATGTTAAAATGTGGGTATCCTACAGGTAATAAACAGGCTCGGCCACGTTTAAAAATTGCACGGAGCAAAATAGTTTGTCGTTGCTGCTTCCTGTGTTTTGTGAAGTCAGCTCTGTAACTCCTTTACCCACCAGGGTGCACACAACACTCAGCGATTAACAACTGAGCGAATGAATAAAAACTTGTGACATTACAGATCTGATTACCTGTTCGATTTTCAGCTCCAACTGGATATTCTTCACATCCAGGTCGTGGCTCTCACTGAGGATGCGCGTGCATGTTGCTTTGCTTCTCTGTTGGAGACATTACCAGAAGTAAAAATGACTGTCATAGTTTGAGCAACAGTCCGTTTTTAAAATGTGACTCATGCCTGCCACTGTTATTTGTTGAATCAATGAAATGATCTTTTAATTAGTAAAAATGTCCAGAGAGTTGGAAGAATGAGTTTGAAGACCCAGGAATAAGTTCATATTTTACCACTTCCTCATCTCAAAGTTAACATTTTCTGAATGTGTTTCTGGTTGTTAGCCTGAAATAAGGTCTGTGGTTAACAATAGCTGGAGAGATATTAACATTTTGTTGTATGACATAAAATACGTCAGTACTGGTGAATTTAAGAACGGCAGTTGCTAACAAGTGTCTAAATGAAACGACTAAACGTCATCACGTCCATCATTAGCCGCCTTTAGCTTAGCGGTGGTGACGTGAAGTCATGTGACCGTGCTGTAGTTCCTTTATAGCCCAACATTAGCCACCTTTAGCTTAGCGGTGGTGACGTGAAGTCATGTGACCGTGCTGTAGTTCCTTTATAGCCCAACATTAGCTTTTTACTTTAAAAAAGTGGTGTTAATATGTAGAGATTATCCTGCTGAACAACACATGTAAGTATCATAAACGTTTGTGTGTCACAGTGATTATTTTCTGAAATCCAATTGAAAAATCCCATTGCTTTTTGCTGAGGGAGCCCTTACAATGCTAACTTGTTCCACCTCTGCTCGTTGCTTTTTTGAGAATCACAACCAACCAATGACAAAGATGAACAAGCCTGAATGCTCTCTGCAGGCCTGGTATGTTTAAAATAAAAGAAGATGAACAAGCCTTTAATCTCTGGGCCGTGGCTCTTCTCTTGTGGTTCAGGAGTCTGCAGCTCTCTGACAGTTCTGGTTCCTCCACCTGCAGACTCTTCTTCAAACGTTCACTCTGCCGCAAAGCCACCGCCATCTTCCTCTCCACTGGCTTGTCCCTTTCCTTCAAGTGGTACAGTTTACTCTAACAAAATAAGGCAAACATTAGCATCAAGCAATAACAACAAGCACCTCATTCAGTGTCATCAGCACTTTAGTTCTGTAATTTATTTCTATCAAAAACCCTGAATAATTTGCATTAAAACGCCATCTTTGGATTTACATTTGAATAAAAACAATTGCAGCTACTTTGCACACGTAGGTAGGTAGGTAGGTAGGTAGGTAGGTAGGTAGGTAGGTAGGTAGGTAGGTAGGTAGGTAGGTAGGTAGGTAGGTAGGTAGGTAGGTAGGTAGGTAGGTAGGTAGGTAGGTAGGTAGGTAGGTAGGTAGGTAGGTAATAAATGTAAGGAATTATTATTATTATTAGGTAGGTAGGTAGGTCCCAATTTGGGAAATCATTTCGTCACAGAAGCAGAAGTGTGTTCAGACTTTATTATGTGTGTGATGCTACCTTGATGTTTTGTTATATATTTGTACTTTATTCTGTATTATTATATTTGTTACTTAAGTAATTCAACATTCTGCTGCCGTGACAATTTGGGATGGATTAAGTATATCTAATGTAGTCTATTTTGTGGAGTTAAACATACTATCAAACCAAAACAAAAATCAGTCTTAGATTTAAACTAGTCCCTGATTGGCTGCAGTAGAAAACAAACACCTGTCAGATTTAAGTATTTACTCTTTCCTTTGTGCGACAGGACTGTGGTGGGTAGTATCTCTTACCCTCAGCGCCTTACTATCTTCGTTGTCATTATTTTTCAGACGTTTCCTCTCAAAGTCGAGACCTGTCCAGTCGCAGTCTTGCTCCTCCAGGACACGGTCACGCTTCACTCTCATTTCCTCGTCGATCTTGTCTAGTCGAGTTTGATTTTCCTGGCTTTGTTCGTCTTTCTTGGCTTTGACCCAGGTTTCATAACGTTCGTCCACGGCTTCAATTTAAAAAGGCAACAGAGGGAAAAAAAACAAGTACAAATAGTGCTTTTTAACTTTAAAGAGGCTCCATCATGCTTTTTCTCTTCCCCCCCCTTCCTGAAACCCCTCCATTGGACTCTTTTGTTTACTTCCTGAACATGTTGACATCACTATGTAACACCATGGCTGTATAAAACACGTTTTAACCCTTATGGTTTTAATAAGGGCTATGAAAGTGTTTTTCCTGGGTAGTTAACTTTTTTTTTTTAAATAGTAAGCTGATTCACAGACATTTCTTTCCCGATGTAATGGCGCATTTCCACTACAGGGCCTCGCTCGGTATGGCTAGGTCTCGTTAGCAGGGGCGGATCTAGACAAATATTCATGGGGTGGCAAGAGGGTGGCAGAAGATTTTGAGGGGTGGCATCCCCTGACAGAAGTATATGCTGATTTAAATCGCAATCATATCAATCAATTAGGGGTGTAACGGTACACGTACCCGTACTGAAATTATTCGGTACGGGCCCTTCGGTTCGCTACACGTGTGTACCGAACAAATATAGCGTTAAACGTAAAAATATTGAGAACATGAACAACTTTCTGGAAGTAATCTCAGGTATATATCATAGAGCGACCAAGTAATTTCATTGGACGAGAGGCATACTATGAGAGCTGGTCACAGGGATGCGTTCAAATGTAGTCAGTAATTTGAGGAACTGTCGAAATGGCGAACGCAGATAAAGTTGAGCTGAAAATCCTCCAGCATCATTGAAATCTCCGGTTTGGGAACATTTTGGTTTCACAGTTACGTACAAGGATGACGGACAAAGACAGGTGGACCGAACCAAAGCTGTTTGTCGGTATTGTTCAACTAACATTGGTTACGCGGCTGGCAATACATCACACTCATTTGAAAAGGCATCACCCGAATGTGAATATCACCGGTACCAAAAGAAAAAAGACTGAAGTGCAAACCCAACTCCCACTAGCATGTAAGCCTCCACCACTCGCAAAAAGTTCAGACCGAGCCAAAGCTATTACAAACGCCAAATATCCTTATGTTGCCATGTTAGCAAAGCGCTACCTGGCTGTATCTGCTGCCACTGTCCCTAGAGAGGGTGTTCTCCAGAGCAGGAGAAATTGTTAGTGCCAGCAGATCTGCCATTTCAGCAAGCAATGTGGACAAGTTCATCTTTCTTTAAACAACATGAAAATACAATGACAAGCAAGTCCTAATGTCAAGCTGGCTGCTTAGGTACTAGTACAGTTCAAATACAGATTATTTCAGTTCATCGAAATGCTGCACCTTAATGTTTATTTTACTATATGTTGTATTTATTTGAATACATTAGTCACAGTTTAATAATAATAAAAAAAATGTTTTTAATGTTTTGTGATCATTTTTTCTGCTGTACCGAAAACGTACCGAACCGTGACCTACAAACGAGGTACGTACCGAACCGAAATGTTTGTGAACCGTTACACCCCTACAATCAATGTTAACTTGGAAAGCCACAATATTAATATTTTAACTCAATCACATAGGTGATATTATTGTGGCACATCAGTAAAGCCTTACATATAAGGTGGCAGATGTAATTTAATGAATTTTAACTGACCAATAACTGAATGAGTTTGTCTCACTCTTAGACCAGCAGGGGTACCAATCTATGCAGACTGCTGCAATAAGTACATTAATTAACTGTCTCATCGATGTTTGTCTGAATGAATATGATACTATTAACAATCATATTATTCCTATCAGCTGTCAATCACTGTTAATAAATAATAATAATAATAGATTTAATTTGTTAGTGCTTTTACAGGTGCTCAAAGACGCTTTACAGATATAGTGAAGAACTGTTATGATTCACATATTCATTTATTATTGAATAAACTATATTTATTTTTTGGAGGAGTTAATGATGAATGTTCATCAAGATGCTTGCTCACCCTCCTTCAAATTTGAAAAACAAGTAATTATAACATTATTGATATACAGTTACAACCTTGACTTTACATCAGAAAGAACAAACATTAAAGAAGTGACTAACTGCATCAGTTAGGGTTAAAAAACGTGTATTCAGCTAAAACATAAACATCGCTGCAGTTATTATCTAGTGGAAGGTCCTTACCTACTGGCCTAGTTAAATCAAAGTGGTTACTTTCTGTTGGCTGGGCAGTGTAGTTTTACACACCGTCTTATTTTACTTTTTCAGGACTTAAAATTGTTTTTTGGGGGCAGACCCCCTCAAAGAAAAAAATATATACACGCATACAAGGTCATCATCTTAACAGTTTGTTATTCTCATCGAGTCATCCGTGAGCAGTGCATCAAGTTGGCATGTCTATTACAGCTGAATGCGGCGATTACTATCTTGTTCAGCAAAACGCCTCACAAATGTATTAAGATCAACAGCTTTAGTGCGTTTTGATTCAATGCTGAGTACAGCCAAACTTGACATTCTCTTCTCTGTCAGTGTAGACCGCAAATACCTCATTCCTTCCGTCTACTTGAGTCCGAAAGGCTTCTCGTTTTGCGCCGTCCCGTTCAAATGAATTCGCCACCAATCATATTTCCACTCTCGCGCCAGGACCGGGGGAGGGGTTACATGACGTGCATCTTGTGCTGCATTCACTTGCACTCGGACATTAGAGACTTTCTCTCATAAATGTCCGATGAGCAACAACTTTTCTTTCAAAACAAAGATGCCAACTGGGGTGGCAGCTGGGGTGGCAAGGCTATTGTTTAGGGTGGCAGTTACCACCCCATGCCACCCCGGTAGATCCGCCCCTGCTCGTTAGGCCTTGTTAGGACTGGCTCACTGTATGCTGCGTTTCCATTACAGTTTAGGAGCTGGGGCAGTAACTATAGTAACGCAGTGTAGGCGGAGCCGTGACGTCATCTTCAATGAGAACCCCAGAAAACCAACATCAGCCGTTAGCTGTTAGCACTCAGAGCTCACAGCTCCTCATATCTGTTCAGAAACTAGACACAAGTTAAACAAGTACAAACCACAGACTGCCTGTGTCATGGCGAATACAGTCGCTGGTTTATTTATGTCTGTAGGCCGTTGTTGTGAGTGTGGACGGTCGGAGCATATACTGCGTTAGCTTAGCCGATCTCCATTCAGAAAACACGCATTTTAAAAGGTTTTTCGCCTGCCGCCTGTCTGCAGACTTGTCAAAGCATTAATTCATGGTTTTTACTAACCGGTATCAGTATGTTGTTACTTCGGCATCATTTTGAAACGTGTATTACAATTAAATCACGGTCAAATATGTTCATCTTGTTGTAGTTGTAGCCCCCTTGCCAACGATTCTCTCTCTAGTTTAGCATACTCAGCCTGGTTGTTCCTGGCCCTAGAACCACGATTTTATGGGGCCAGAAAAACTGAAATAGTACTAATATACCTGAACATCAGCAGGAGAGGACTCTTTAAAGAAGAGACACTACATACTGATATACACCTGAACATCAGCAGGAGAGGACTCTTTAAAGTAGAGACACTACATACTGATATACACCTGAACATCAGCAGGAGAGGACTCTTTAAAGTAGAGACACTACATACTGATATACACCTGAACATCAGCAGGAGAGGACTCTTTAAAGTAGAGACACTACATACTGATATACACCTGAACATCAGCAGGAGAGGACTCTTTAAAGTAGAGACACTACATACTGATATACACCTGAACATCAGCAGGAGAGGACTCTTTAAAGTAGAGACACTACATACTGATATACACCTGAACATCAGCAGGATATGTTGTCTTTTTTAAAAAGGGACACACGTTTATTTACCTTTGACTCGCTCTTCATGTTTCACATATAGTTCCTTTATTTTCTCCTGATGTTCCTGTTGACAACGAAATATATAAAACAAAGAATCAGCGTTTAGAAAATATCATTTTGAAAACTTAGGACTGAATTTACTTTTCCGTGTGAGGATCTAAGGACAGAGGGGGTTGTTTTCATATTTTGTACAAACTGTAAAGCCCCCTGAGACAAATGTAAAATGTGTGATATTGGGTTGTATACATACACTTTGATTGATTGATTAAGCACAATTCTTCTGGTATTTACAAGTCAGGAATGATATTCAATCTATACCAACATATAAGAGTGGTTCGAATCAATTGGAAAACATATTAAAAGCTTCCTCTTTAAGGAAGAAAGGGGGATTACTAGCAATGTTAGTATCAAAAAAATAATATAGTGTTTGTTGTAAAAGGATCAGATGTTATCTCTTCTCTGTGTAGGATAATACTTTAAGTGTGAACCTATACTTCTACTGCCTGAATCTGCTTTATGGTTTTCTCTTTTTTTGCTTCCTTTGTTCTGTTTTTAATTCAGCAGGTGAACCTATACGTTCATAAAATAGTGTGTGTGTTAAACTTAAACGGAGCATTTTCTGTCAGCTCTGTCTTTATGTCTGCTTTTTTAAACTGTAGTATGTGCTCATGTGTTGGTGTAAAAGCTACTGCCTGAGTATGCTTCATCATTTCTGATCCTAAATATCTTAATACTACTTCTTTAATAATACACTTATATTCCTTTCATCCATTGCATTACATTTGAAATTGACGTTATCCAAAAGTAACAGAAAGTAATCAGATTACTTTTACATATTGATACTCAGATTAGGTAACTGAAAACCCTTTTTTTCAGGTAACTAGTAGTTGGAAGTGTGAAAATAAAAGCAATATTTGATCTGTACGTTGTGAGTTCTTACCAGCTCGAGCTTCCTCATCAGGATGTTAGAGCTGACTTCTTGCTCGGCTCTCTCCACCTGCAGGCTGCACTTCTTCTCCTGCATTTCCACCTCTGAGCACCCCTTCTTTATCTGACTTTTTGCCGCCATCTTCAGCTCACAGAGCTCTTCTTGTTGAGCCGTCTTTAATTCTTCCAGGTTCTGCTGTCGCTCCTGCAATCAATAATCAAATCGGGTTGATTGGGGGTGGAAAAAAGTCATTTACTGCAAACACATAACGTTACAAAAAAACTAATTTGCTTCTGTTTACAAGATAGATAGATATATACTTTATTTGGGAAAACATTTTTGTTACAGAAGCATCAGTGTGTTCAGAAATTATAATAAAAATACTTAAAAAGTGGAATAGAGAATTAACAACTAAAAATGAAATATTATATGAAATATTATTAATTAAATGTTCTAAAAAAGTCAAAAATACTGCAGTTAGTAGCAGGAATATATGCTTACACTACGGGAGCATAGACATACTTGTATAGGATAGTAAAAAATGTACCGATAATATATATATTTTGCTCTATGAACCTGAAGATGGGCATTATAAGAGCCCTTAAAAGTGACTTCCTGTTGCCTCAGGGTAAAATGTGTCTTTATGTCGGGATAGAAGGTAATTTAAACTATTTGCAACAAAAATAACACGGGTGGTTTTATACTATGGTGTGTGCAAAAATAGACGAAGATCACTACTTTATTTTTCAATTATGTGCGTTTGATTCTAATTTATAGCATCTGGTGTCATTACGTGCTGCACAGTTGACGGGACTACTGGAAGGGAAACTGAAAAAGTATTGACTTTAAACTTTTGAAAAGGACATATTAAGCACATGTTCAGGTGTATATCAGTATGTAGTGTCTCTACTTTAAAGAGTCCTCTCCTGCTGATGTTCAGGTGTATATCAGTATGTAGTGTCTCTACTTTAAAGAGTCCTCTCCTGCTGATGTTCAGGTGTATATCAGTATGTAGTGTCTCTACTTTAAAGAGTCCTCTCCTGCTGATGTTCAGGTGTATATCAGTATGTAGTGTCTCTACTTTAAAGAGTCCTCTCCTGCTGATGTTCAGGTGTATATCAGTATGTAGTGTCTCTACTTTAAAGAGTCCTCTCCTGCTGATGTTCAGGTGTATATCAGTATGTAGTGTCTCTACTTTAAAGAGTCCTCTCCTGCTGATGTTCAGGTGTATATCAGTATGTAGTGTCTCTACTTTAAAGAGTCCTCTCCTGCTGATGTTCAGGTGTATATCAGTATGTAGTGTCTCTACTTTAAAGAGTCCTCTCCTGCTGATGTTCAGGTGTATATCAGTATGTAGTGTCTCTACTTTAAAGAGTCCTCTCCTGCTGATATTCAGGTGTATATCAGTATGTAGTGTCTCTACTTTAAAGAGTCCTCTCCTGCTGATGTTCAGGTGTATATCAGTATGTAGTGTCTCTACTTTAAAGAGTCCTCTCCTGCTGATGTTCAGGTGTATATCAGTATGTAGTGTCTCTACTTTAAAGAGTCCTCTCCTGCTGATGTTCAGGTGTATATCAGTATGTAGTGTCTCTACTTTAAAGAGTCCTCTCCTGCTGATGTTCAGGTGTATATCAGTATGTAGTGTCTCTACTTTAAAGAGTCCTCTCCTGCTGATGTTCAGGTGTATATCAGTATGTAGAGTCTCTACTTTAAAGAGTCCTCTCCTGCTGATGTTCAGGTGTATATCAGTATGTAGTGTCTCTACTTTAAAGAGTCCTCTCCTGCTGATGTTCAGGTGTATATCAGTATGTAGTGTCTCTACTTTAAAGAGTCCTCTCCTGCTGATGTTCAGGTGTATACCAGTATGTAGTGTCTCTACTTTAAAGAGTCCTCTCCTGCTGATGATCAGGTGTATATTAGTATGTAGTGTCTCTACTTTAAAGAGTCCTCTCCTGCTGATGTTCAGGTGTATATCAGTATGTAGAGTCTCTACTTTAAAGAGTCCTCTCCTGCTGATGCTCAGGTGTATATCAGTATGTAGTGTTTCTACTTTAAAGAGTCCTCTCCTGCTGATGTTCAGGTGTATATCAGTATGTAGTGTCTCTACTTTAAAGAGTCCTCTCCTGCTGATGTTCAGGTGTATACCAGTATGTAGTGTCTCTACTTTAAAGAGTGCTCTCCTGCTGATGTTCAGGTGTATATTAGTATGTAGTGTCTCTACTTTAAAGAGTCCTCTCCTGCTGATGTTCAGGTGTATATCAGTATGTAGTGTCTCTACTTTAAAGAGTCCTCTCCTGCTGATGTTCAGGTGTATATCAGTATGTAGAGTCTCTACTTTAAAGAGTCCTCTCCTGCTGATGTTCAGGTGTATATCAGTATGTAGTGTCTCTACTTTAAAGAGTCCTCTCCTGCTGATGTTCAGGTGTATATCAGTATGTAGAGTCTCTACTTTAAAGAGTCCTCTCCTGCTGATGCTCAGGTGTATATCAGTATGTAGTGTTTCTACTTTAAAGAGTCCTCTCCTGCTGATGTTCAGGTGTATATCAGTATGTAGTGTCTCTACTGTGACATGTCTCCATACTTTAATGTTCAAAAAGCTCTTTATTCTTCTCATACTGCCTGTGCTGCAGCACCTCTTTTCACCCTCTGTCTGAAACCAGAGCCCAGTCTGCTCTGATTGGTTAGCTGGCTCTTTTGTGATTGGTCAACCGCTTAGAGATGTCCCGCACCTTAGCCTATCACGTACAATGTTCAAGGTTCAAGGTTCTTTATTGTCAAACTAACATAGCTATAGTAATTATGTCTTTGAAAATCTTAGGTCACAGGCTTCTCCAACAATGCAACACAATAATACAGATAAGCAGACAATATTAAAGCAATATTAAAGTATATTATATTAAAAGTAATACAAAAGAAAAATAATTCTAAAAAAAGTGAGAAAGTGGAATAGTGCAATACGAGTCTATATACAAGTTATTGAACTGATATATTAGATAATAGATCAATAATTACTAAGTAGCAGATGAATGTTGTGAAATTGTTTCAGCAGTTCAGTTGTTTAACAGTCTTGTTGCCTGCGGGATGAAGCTGTCTCTGATTCTGGTTGTTTTTGTCCGGATGCTGCGGTAACGCCTGCCAGACGGCAGCAGACTGAACAGTTTGTGGCTGGGGTGAAGGGGGTCTTTTCTAATCCTGAGGGATTTGTTCCTGAGCCGCTGGGAGTAGAGGTCCTCCATGGATGGCAGCTCCGTCCTGGTGATGCCTTACGATTAAGGGCGGTACAGCAGTCGTACCAGGCCGTGATGCAGCCCGTACTCACCTGTAGAAGTTGCAGAGTATCCTGGAGTCCATGTTGAACCTCCTCAGCCTGCGGAGGAAGAAGAGCCGCTGTCGAGCTTTCTTGGTGATGGTGGTGGTGTGAAGAGTCCATGTCAGGTCCTCAGTGATGTGGACCCCAAGGAACCGGAAGCTGCTGACTCTCTCCACCGCAGTCCCATTGATGGCGATGGGGGCGTGTCCCTCTCCCTGCTGCTTCCTGTAATCCACAATCAGCTCCTTGGTTTTGCTGACGTTGAGATGGAGGTTGTTATCCTGGCACCAAGATGTCAGGTCTTCGACCTCCTCTCTGTACGCCGTCTCGTCGCCGTATGTGATCTGGCCGATGACGGTCGTGTCGTCAGCATACTTCACGATGGTGTTGGAGCTGTGTGTGGCCACGCAGTCGTGAGTGAACAGGGAGTAGAGGAGAGGGCTGAGCATGCAGCCTTGAGGGGCTCCGGTGTTGAGGATCAGGGTGGAGGATGTGATGTTTCCCACCCGCACTGCCTGGGGTCTGCCCGTCAGGAAGTTCAGGATCCAGTCACAGAGGGCGCTGTTGAGCCTGAGGTCTCTGAGCTTGATGGCCAGCTTAGGCTGGCATTGAAGGCTGAACTGTAGTCAATGAACAGCATTCTCACATATGTGTTCCTGTTCCTCTGGTCCAGGTGTGAGAGGGCAGTGTGGATGGTGTGGGCTATGGTGTCGTCTGTGGACCTGTTTGCTCTGTAGGCAAACTCCAGGGGGTCCAGAGAGTCAAGGAGGGAGGAGGTGATGAATTATTTGACTAACCGCTCAAAGTGTTGGAGAGCTAGCCAATAGAAGCCAGATAGAAATAGAAACTCCCTCTGGATGGAACACAGGGATTTCAGCCTTTGCAGACCATTTACATGCACACAAACCTATAGAACACACTACAGGAAAAGGAAAACCACAAACAGCAGGATGTGTGTGTGTGTGTGTGTGTGTGTGTGTGTGTGTGTGTGTGTGTGTGTGTGTGTGTGTGTGTGTGTGTGTGGTGTGTGTGTGTGTGTGTGTGTGTGTGTGTGTGTGTGTGTGTGTGTGTGTGTGTGTGTGTGTGTGTGTGTGTGGTGTGTGTGTGTGTGTGTGTGTGTGTGTGTGTGTGTGTGTGTGTGTGTGTGTGTGTGTGTGTGTGTGTGTGTGTGTGTGTGTGTGTGTGTGTGTGTGTGTGTGTGTGTGCGTGTGAGTGATGCTTACTTCAATTTCTTTGCGTCGTTGCCCCAGGACTTCTTGATTTACCCGGAGCTTTTCCCTCATCCTCGCCTTGGAGGCCTCCAGTCTTTGCTTGCTGGTGTTCCAGGACGTTGTGAGGCTGCTCCTCTCATTTTCAAACGGCCCTTTCTCTTTGACCGCTCGATTCAGTTCCTCTTGGAGACTCACATACGTCTCCCACAGCTGCAGGGAGAAGGTGGTTGTTTCGATACAAATCAAACAAGTGTCTCCATAATCACTGGAACCTACACTGTAGTCTCGAATGCAGCAGAATCAGGAGATTTTGGCGAATGTAGGGAAGTGTAATCAATCAAAATACTGCAATTAAAACCTTTGTCCATTGTTGCCGAGTCCAAGTGAAAAGCATACAGTATATACTGGACTTAAATGGGCTTATCACACATATGATGACATATTGTGTACATGAAAACGATAAAACAACTTATGTCCAAACTCACTGCTTTAACACTGTTGTCAATGTTATTACTAGCTCCTTCAATACTTAAAAAAAGCTTTTTTACCCAGAACATTTTAATTGTCCAAAGTGGAGGTAATCATTTTCATCGTGTGCTCTCTTTATCCAATGGTCGCAACCCATTGTAGTAAAAATCCGCACTGAGAGTATACATATATGGCCACTTTCTGTTAAAACTGACATTATGTATTGTTTGTAGCCTTTATTTAACCAGGTGAAAGCCCCTTGAGATCAAAAGATCTCTTTTTCAAGGGTGACCTGCAGGTCCTGAAAATGCAGTCTCAGCATCCCCAATAACCCCAAAACAACTCCAATACTAAATCACTTAGGCTATAATCCCATTTATTTTAATTAACGCAATTTATGCTAATTGTGCAAATTGCCTAACATATGCAAGTTAGCATCCGGCAGTTCCTATGTGCTGGAGACCCGTACTATACATTTCTAACATAAAAACTTTGGGGCACTTAACATTTCCGGGTTTACTAAGCTAGCAAATAGACTCAGTCGCTAAATTACATTACATGTTACTTGTTAGACGCTTTTATCCAAAGCGACTTACATACTCAATACTGTGGGCGATCCCCACAGGAGCACTTTGGGGTGAAGAGTCTCAGGGACACAACGACATGCTGACTGCAGTGGGATTTAAACCTGTGACCCCCTGATCCGAACACGAACGCACAGCCCACTGCACCACACGCCACGCTAAATGGTCTTAATGAATCTCTCAGCTCCAGTGGTGGGACTAACGCGGTACAAGTAACGCAGTAACTAGTACGCTAACGCATTACTTTTTAAATTCAGTAACGCAGTTACCGTTACTACATGGTGCGTTACTCCGTTAGTTTTTTTATATAGTCAACAGCCAGGCGAACAGAGATGAGAACTGTACTTAAGTACTTGAGTAAATGTACTTAGATACTTCCTGTGTCACATGCGGAGACGGGCTGTGGGCGTGTTTGTGTTGTTTACTAACAAGACTATCATGGCGGCGGCGGAGCTCAAGTCTAGTTTCTCCACCTGGAGATATTCTCACTATTTCACTTTTGTCGAGCACAAAGAAAAGAACGTTTTAGTTAAATGTA